AAAAATTTAATGTTTGTGCCATTTTTCTGACAGTTCTCGAAAAAAAATTTTTTTATCAAATAGGATGTTTCTCGAGTTACGTTAGTTTGCAGAACGTTTTTTTTTAGATTTTAGATTTGTGTTTTTAATTTCACTTTTCACAAACACAAGCATCTACTCATTTTTCAGGTTAAGAGTTTGAGGTAAGGAGAGCTGTAAAAACAACTATTTGCATCGTATAATACTCATAACAGTAGCTTGTTAATATTCTCTCATGAAGTGTTTGTCTAACCTCACGCTTTGACGCATAGTGTTTCCCTATACTGAATGACGTCACGCTCAGAAAACTTATAACACGAACGACATTATATGAACTCAAGTTTCTCTCATTTCAAAACTCAAAGTCCAAATGCGCTAATGAAAGAAAAATAAGTAATATATTCACACGCGTCGCCACTGTATCATTTGGAGGTGTGAAGATCATAAAATTTTTATTTTTGTGTACAGACTTTAAAGTAGATAAAAAATAACAACTTGAAATGATATTCAGACGGCCGCAGAAGGTAGTTCATAACAGAAAATTTTCTACACGATATATCAAAACATTTGAAATTTTTATAATTACCTGAACTAATTAAGAATAAAAAAACTGATTCCGAAATTCAGGTAATAAAGCTTGTTCAGTGTGAAAGTTTGTGTAAATAGAAAAAATATATCTTCTTTCGGTCCAGTTTCAGATTAAATTATCTTTCAATCGGTAAATTTATTTAACTTTGTTCTTAATTTTCCCACTCTAAAACCTTTTTCACGGTTTTCAATATTCGACGCGGAGAGACCTAGTTGTTAACGTACCGGACTAAAAATTCAGGAGTCCATAGTTCGCATAAAATTGCACTTCACATTTTGGAGCTGTGGATGCCTTATAAGAGTGACGGACAAATCGCATTATTTCATTAGAGTAGCTTAAGAGTTGTCGGTGAGCGCTATTCACTAGCTGCCTTCACCCTAGTTTTACCAGTTCAAAATTGTTGGGCTAACTCTTGTTTAGCTTTGAAAGAATAGCCGAGGAAACAAGTAATCGACATAGCAATTCCCTAGTCCAGAGGATCCACTGTTTCCAAGTCTGTTGATGTTCATAATCAACTTACTCTTATCATGAACACAGCCTAATCATATGTCACATATCAAAACTGTGTTTATATTTTTACAGAGTTGCTGTTTACACATTTTCAAGGCTCTTTTCCCCATACCTATCTTGAACAATAATTTATTTAGTTTCATCTTAAAATCTAATTTCCAGATAGTGATAGACATCTTGTGACCTTATTACAAACCTGCTTTAAATAATTTTCGAATTTGAAAAGCGTTTTAACCACGGATACAGCTGTCATTCTATCAAGTTTTATAATTCCCGCATAATGAAATGTCACTGAGTGGCTATTTTGTGGTTTTCCATAACTGTATTACATTTTTTATGTGGCACAGCATCATATACAGTATATGCTGTTTAAAATACAAAGACCAGAATGTCGTGCTCTAAAGATGTCATTTTTTCTAATATAATTTATCATATCTCCAGTTTTTCTTTGTATTAGTGTAAAATATTTTGTCTGAAATATTCAAGTGAAAGTGACTTCAATTTGGTAACATTTCCACTCAGTGTATATTTAACAGTTTGTGAGATATAGCACTAACTATATTTATTTTATAAAGCGTAAAAAGACATAGTAACAGTAATGCATTATTCTAACAAGAGTAGATTCATTTCAAACAATACGTTATTTGATCCAAGAGAGGAGTTCAAATATCTGAAATTACAATAGTGAAGGCACCGGACAAGTGAACACTAGCGAAATGTTGGTTTTGAGTTCTGTATAAAAAGAAATAATATATCAAATGTATAGCACCTTAATATATGCTAACTCGAAAAACTGACCCCTATAAACATTTGTTTGATTTAGAGTAAAGCCACATTACAATATCTACTGTGTCCACCGCACGGAATCGGATCGCGGATTTTAGTGTTGTAGCAAGTCCGTAGATTTACCGCTGTCTCACCGGGAGATGACTTGTATAAAATTAGTAGTTGTGTAAATAAGTTCATATTTGGGACACTAGAGGTAAGAAACATGTAAGTTCGTATTAAAGAACATAGGTCATTAAATTATTCATAAATAACTTATAATCAGTAGATGTCCTTACAAGTAAATTCAGCCAACTTAATTATACGTATATGTGTGGTATATATATATATATATAGGCATATCGTGCGTTTTCTAGCTTTTTTAACTTTATATAGAAATCTCAAACTTTTTCATTATGTCTAAGTATGTACAGTTTTAAAGAGATCCGATAAGTTGATTTTGTTCTTGCTACTTTTGTTATTTTTCATTCCATTGGATTTAGCATCTGGTCTGCCTATATGTGGTCATCTGTAAAGCTGTAGGACGTGCATGAAGGTTACCAGCAATGTTTTACAATAATAGGTCAAGTGATATCTCGACGTAACAGCATCCCTTATGTTTGAATGGGAATAGCCAATCGCATGGGTAATACTATTTGCTCTGGGTAAGTCTGACGTTACCAATTCAACTAAGTAATGCGAGATTTAGACAGTCTGAAACATCATCTTGAGTGAACCAGCCAGTTTGGAAATAAGTCTTGAGAGAAGCTTGATCAAATCATAACTCTAGTAAAGACGATTGTCCAATGTACAATGCAAGTACACACATTCTGTTTGTAATATTAATAATAAGAAACTCAGTATTGTTTGCAACTTGGGCCCGGTATGGCCAGGTGGTTAGGGAGCTCGACTAGCAATCTGTGGGTCGAAGGTTCGAATCCCTGTCCCACCAAATATGCTCGCCCTTTTAGCCGTGAGGGCGTTAAAATGTGGCGATCAATTGCATTATTCGTTGGTAAAAGAATAGCCCAAGAGTTGGCGGTGGGTGGTGATGACTAGCTGCCTTGCCTGGCCATGCCGGGCCAAGATATGAAGAACCCCCTAACAGGCGAGGGATTTGAGAATTACCTGAGCCCCTAGAAGTTTTCTGGACTTTACGCACCTACAATTAGCTAATTACTTCAAAACCATAGATATTAAACATAAATTCTTAAATCCTTTTGTATAATACAAAATAAAAATATCTTACCACATTATAAAACCAAATCTAGTCGGATCAGTTTGGAGCCTAGCTTAGCCTAATGATTAGCATTGGCAGACTGCTAACTCGAGAATTCATGGTTTGCAGTCTATTGTCGCAAAAATGGGCATCGCACTTTGTAGCCATGGGTACGCTATAAGAGTGACAGGCAAATCTATACTTGTTTTCTGAGTACTTATGTTGGTAAAGTTTTGACAAAAATTACAATTTTCGGACTATGTATTCATAATCGTTTTTCAAGTATAATAAACATTTATCGGTATATTGGCGGAAGCTAACGTTTCAGTCCTAATAGTTGAAAAATATTCGTATTTCGATATTCTTACAGTGTATCAAAGTTCAAAGAATTACGTACTTTTATCGCACATTCCAAGTATTTCATTTTTTTAATGTCGTCAGTGGTGATTGGTCTTTCGGTGTCATTCCCAAAGATTGAGTCCAGTTCGTCTTGCACTTTCTTTTGAACAGCAGGATTCAAACCAATGAGATAGAGTGTCCAGCTAATTCCCATAGCGGTTGTGTCATGTCCCTGTTTCAATAAAATCAGCTTCTATTACAAAAGGTTTCAATATATATATATATATATATGATATTATATTAAATTATAGTTTAATCATAACTTTGGTGTGTAGATCATTGTGATAATTAGGAACACCTGAAAATAAGAGACATGGTAACTAATTAGAGACAACTTAGAATGAACGCCTATATATATATATATATATATGTATGTATATCTAGTATCACTTATAATTAAAAAGCGACAATAATATTGTCCCTAAGGATTTATAACCAAACCTCTAGGATGATACCGTCCCTTGTTCTTATAATTGCAGACTGTAGCAGTAATATACCCCCAATTACTGATAATCGAAAATGGAATGTTCCTAGTTATTTGTAATGAAAAACAGGCAGGAATTTAGTTCTGTTCTTTGTTATAGAATTGTCCCTCGTTGTTTAAAGTCGGATATCTAGGCAATATCTCAGAGAATAAAATAACACCAAGATGTCGTCAAACTATTGTCTCCAAGAAAATCAACCTTAGCTGGACATAACTATAACACCGCTTATATCATCAACTGAACATCAAATTCTAGACTCCACAAAACAATGTAATATAAAAAAACTAAAAGTGGCATTTATCATCAAAACCGACCCAGAACCATCATCAAGACATAGATGTCAATTAAATATGGTTTCTTTTCTTCTTCAAAAACAAAAACAAAATTGGCAAGAAGAAAATACAACCATTCAATCCAAGCACCAGCTTGACTCTGGTGACGTCATATGACATTCGTACATCGGAACCATCGTTTATGGTTGCTTTCTTCACCGTTTCAATCCACTCGGAACCATCGTTTATGGTTGCTTTCTTCACCGTTTCAATCCATTCTTATTTCACATTGTCAGTTTACGCTATGATCCCACAGCCGCACCTTCTCCTATACTACAGCATCATAAGGATATTCATGTGAGCATGTCTTTGTAATATTCATCTTCCTAGCTCTCCAGTTATCTCTCTTTTTGCTATTTACTGTTCCTCTTCTTCAACGTCCCACATTACTTTCACGCAAACAGTTGTTAAGTTAAATCCGTTTTTGCTCCATGCCCTACCTCGACACCTCAAAAAATGTGACGCCTCCTTAATATAAAAACAAATTTGGTGTTGAAAAGGTATAATAATATAACGTAAAATTTAGAAATTTACCAAAATTTCACACCCAAGTGAATTTTTTTTCTTATTGTAGCATTTTCAAATTCCTCTCCTTCCTGCGGGGCGTGAGCCCCACGTTCAGAATCACTGCTTTAGGCAAACTAAATTTTAAGCACTGCATTTTTCATTGAAAATAATAACTAGCATAACCTCAAAGATATCCCCTACTCATTGATTAACATTATATATTACAAACTGCCTTCCTTTTATATATAAGTTTCAATAAAAACACTACAAATGGAGGTTGATAAGATTAGTATTTATGCTTGCACAAAAAAAATATAATTAAATCGTGACTCACTTTTTATTCTATGAATTTTATGGATGTGCCTATTTTATTATAATAATCATGCTAATCATTATTTATACTTTTTCTATATAGTTTTTAAAAGCTTGGCTTTATCCAAGCCAATCATTCCAGTTATATTAAAATAATTAAGCACTCTATAATAGTTTTAACCCTACTATTACTATGACTGTACAACTTTCTAGTACTTTATTGTGGATAAAAAGCATCGAAATATTTTTTTAATCATTTTCTTATTTGACAATTGCTTAAAGAATTGTTAGGGAATATTTATAAATAATCCCCTTATTGATCTTTCCTTTTTATGTCAATATCTGATGAAGGTCCAATCTGTTTTCATTAGAACATACACTGACTGCATTAATAATAATAAAAACTAGCAACACCGCAGTAAAATTTGAGTTGTTCTTTATCTGATTTTTATAATTTTATAATTTTCTTTACTTAAGTTTATGAAAAATTGTCGTGTGAACTCATTCTCGTTATTTTATAGTGAGATTCTGAGTAAGAATTGTCTCAACTTCTATATACATAGTAATCAGACAGGAGTTGTCCCCATATGTTCATAACCAGAAATCCTCCATAATTATTTATAGTTGGGTACTGGGAAACTAAGTCTCCATTTATTTATATTCACCAGTTAGGGATACATTATTTTTTATTATTCATATCAGAGCAGTAAACGTGTCCTGATTATCTACAGCCGGCAGGTGTTTGCAAACTGTTCTCAGATACACATTTATAATAGTAAATGTTGGCAGGAATTGCTCATTGTTTCTTATAATCGAAGATTATTGCAGAAATTGTCCCGTTATTGTTAATTGTAAAAACTGTGAAATAGGTATTTTCCCGTTTATTTATAATACTAATAGATAGCTTGTAGAGGATGTTCCTTGTTATCCATGATCGATAATTGTGAGAAAACTTTTCTTGTTTGTTTATAATTGACAGCTGTAAAAGAATTGTTCTCGGGTTGTTTACAATCAATAGATAGGAAATAATTGTTCTCGGGTTGTTTACAGTCGATAGATAGGAAATAATTGTTCTCGGGTTGTTTACAATCGATAGATAAGAAATAAGTGTTCCTGAGTGTTTATAATAAGCAGCTGGGAAAGAATTGTTCTCGGTTGTTTATAATCAGCATATGGAACAAAGTTGTTCTCGGTTGTTTATAATCGGCATATGGAAAAAAGTTGTTCTCGGTTGTTTATAATCAGCATATGGAACAAAGTTGTTCTCGGTTGTTTATAATCGGCAGATGGGAAATAATTGTTCTCGGGTTGTTTACAATCGTTAGATAAGAAAGAATTGTTCCTGAGTGTTTATAATCAGCATATGGAAAATAATTGTTCTTAGTCGTTTATAATCGGCAGATGGGAAATAATTGTTATCGGTTGTTTATAATCGGCATATGGAACAAAGTTGTTCTCCCCATATGCCGATTATAAACAACCAAAAACGTTGTTATCGGTTGTTTATAATCGGCATATGGAAAAAAGTTGTTCTCGGTTGTTTATAATCAGCATATGGAAAAAAGTTGTTCTCGGTTGTTTATAATCGGCATATGGAAAAAAGTTGTTCTCGGTTGTTTATAATCAGCATATGGAAAAAAGTTGTTCTCGGTTGTTTATAATCGGCATATGAAAAAAGGTTGTTCTCGGTTGTTTATAATCAGCATATGGAACAAAGTTGTTCTCGGTTGTTTATAATCAGCATATGGAACAAAGTTGTTCTCGGTTGTTTATAATCGGCATATGGAAAAAAGTTGTTCTCGGTTGTTTATAATCAGCATATGGAAAAAAGTTGTTCTCGGTTGTTTATAATCAGCATATGGAAAAAAGTTGTTCTCGGTTGTTTATAATCAACAATTGGGGAAAATTTTCTGATTAATAATAATCGATATTTGGGAAATAATTATTACTGGTTGATTATAAACAAGATTGGCCAGAAACTCCTTAGAGTTTTAGATAATCAGTGACTTAAATTAAATATAATTATTTCCCTTTTTTATATCACTCGAATGTATAGACATTTACTGTCGATAAATATTATAACTGGAGATTTTCACAGTATTTCTCCCTCATTATAGTTTCTTTGAGTCATAACACGAATTTTTTCTAATTCTCTAGATGCAGAGAATGAAAAAAAATGTTTAAAGATATTTATCCTTGATGGTTGGAGACGTAGTTAAGAACTGACTGTAGTTATTTATAGTCGGTTTTTCACGTATGAATAGGTAACTCAGGAAGGAATATCTCTCGTTGTTTATTATAAGTGAGTGCGCTGGAATTGATCTTAGTTCTTTGAATAAGAGCATGGGCGAGAACTGCTGCATTCATTTAGAATATAATCTTAAGTACCCTCTTTTCTCTAGATATTACAGTTTGCTGTGTTTATACATTGTTCGCCAATGGGCTATACCTTTTATATTAATTGTTTTAATATTTATATTGTTTGTGTAAATAATAGAATCATTGTATTACATAATCTGTAATATCAAACTGTTTAATCAAACAACACGTTAGAAAGTGAATGGATTCGAGCACGTAGGTAGACGCTACACTTAAGTTACGAACAGAAAAGCATATAAATAAAAAAGGATAATTTGTTTGTAGGATACAGGTCAGCAGGCTTGATTACGTGGTTAAATAATAACGTACTGGAAAAGTGTAAAGTGACATATAATGAATTTCACCTCAAACATGAAAGTGTCCACCTCCTCACGGATGTCCTCTAAGGTTAGGCTGGGATCATTGAGATGATGGTTAATTAATAGATCTAAAAAGGCCTGAGGCCTTTTTAAGCTTCCTATCCCGTTGTCGGGGGCAAAGTCGTCTTCATTGGTTTTCTGAGCGTTTAAAATGTGAACCTTCCGGTTAAGAATGACCTGATCAAAAGTTTTAAATAAAGTACTTTACTACAATTCAAAACACACTATCTAATAAAACATTAAGTGAAATACAAAGAATACATATTTTTACTGATATTATAGAGTACTTGTTGGGTTATGTCTTATGCACTTTAAACTATCTAATAAAACATTAAGTGAAATACAAAGAATACATATTCTTACTGATATTATAGAGTACTTGTTGGGCTATGTCTTATACACTTTAAACTATCTAATAAAACATTAAGTGAAATACAAAGAATACATATTTTTACTGATATTATAGAGTACTTGTTGGGTTATGTCTTACACAATTTAAACTATCTAATAAAACATTAAGTGAAATACAAAGAATAACTTAATAAAGTACTTTTACTGATATTATTAAAGTACTTTCTCCATTCTGTTTAACCATAACTTTTCAATTTCTTTCTCAAAACCTTATACTTCTCCAATAAATGCAGGACTGATTATCATTCTAACTGGTATGTTAATTTCCAAATAAGAGTACCAATAATTTATTGGTAAATGTCTGTAGGTATACATTCGAAAAAAGTGTTTTCCATGCTTTAACCGCAATGGTTATCATCCACCAACACTGTTACATGGGCTCGTTCATTGGACTTTCTTATAAAAAATTCTAAATCAGAATTAGCATCATTATTAAGTCTCTAATGTATCGAAAGACAGCAATTAAAACGAACCATTTTTAGAACCCTGAAATAGCTTAAGTAACTACTAAACATTAAGGAGTTATTCATAACATTACCTACCTTTCTTGTAAAATCGTGGAGTTCTTTTAAACTTTTGTGGAAGCGACGCCCATACGGAGAAAGTGCAAATAACAATCCGGGCCACAGCCACGGCCTTATCAAACGAGCCATAAACATTTCAGCAACTCTAAAATATACATAAAATCTCTGATCAAAAGCATATGCAAATAAGTGTGAAAGCAGATTCTTTTAGGATTTGACAGATCTGTTAAGCTGTCGAACATAATATAATATAATAACCCAGTAGGGTGAATCAAATTGTATTGAATGCTTTCAATACAACACTGTATTTATTCTAATAATAAAGTAAAAAGTTATATTTAGGTTATAAAGTTCACTGAAAACGATATCAGTGATAAAAATTAAATAATTTGTTGGTTTTCCTATAGGAAAGGGTGTAAAAAAATAGCATAACTGATAGGAAAACTTAATTATAATTACATTCCATGTACCAAATTGGTAATTTATCATTCAAAATTATGTCGGTGAAAAAGTTGAAGTAATTTGATTCATTATTTCTTACAAAAAAGTCTGTAAAACAAAGAAAGTTAGAATAATTGACAGAAAAACTTCAATGAAATTACATTCCATGTACCAAATTAGTAATTTATCATTCAAAATTATGTCGGTGAAAGAGCTGAAGTAATTTGATTCATTATTTCCTACAAAAAAGTGTGTAAAACAAAGAAAATTTGAATAATTGACAGAAAAACTTCAATGAAATTACATTCCATGTACCAAATTAGTAATTTATCATTCAAAATTATGTCGGTGAAAGAGCTGAAGTAATTTGATTCATTATTTCCTACAAAAAAGTGTGTAAAACAAAGAAAATTTGAATAATTGACAGAAAAACGTAAATGAAATTACATTCCATGTACCAAATTAGTAATTTAGCATTCACTGTTTATTAGTGAATGTAAAAGAAAGTCTTATTCATGATCCTTATTTTAGGAATGTAATCTATTTAAAAATAAACTTCATAAGAAAAATAACACATTCTACCGAAGCAAGTATTTTATTGATCATTACACTGCTTGTAAAAGTAGGGTACCAATTTTTAACACGGAGGTAACAGATGTATGGCATCGTTAGTTATCAAGTCTACTTCACAAAATAACCTATAAAAACGTTTTTTTTTCTTACATGCATGAATAACTTGGTGAAATATTTAATTTTGTAATACACTTAAACACGGGCTAAGAACGTGAGACGAAAACAGAGCCGCATACAGGATAGCACAACATAAATGGATGAAAGACACATACATGTATTAAGAGTGAAAAATATGTAGAGAGTAATAAAAAAAGAAATAACCAACATATTCTAAAAGAAATTAAAATGTGTATTCGAAGAATTAAAAATAGTTAAATGTGATATGAAAAGTCTGGCGTTGATATACCGAGATGCAACAGGTTTTTAATTTATAGTTTTCAGAGAGTAAATCATCAAGAGAGCGTACTACCTCAACAATTTAGACATAACTCGTGTATTTCGATGTTAGTTTATATTTTTAAGAAGATTCTTTAAAGACTTTAGAAGAACTGCAGCTACTTTTTGAGTACTTCAACACAAAGATATATCACTGGAAAGTCACACACAGTAATCTTATAAAGGACTATTAAAAATTACACAGTTCGACAAATGTACTTACTCGTATATCGCTTGTACGTAAGGCGATTCTATATTTTTCTGTGCATGAATTTGTATTCCCATAGCACTTTCTGCAATTATACAATAAAACTGTTCGTTATCATATGTTGCCTTTTTACTCTGGAATTACTACCACAAAAGTCTAAGTTTGGGTTGAAACTAAGTTATATTATTTGTGTGGCTAATGAAATATTTTTAAAATATACAGAGTTTATAACAAATAAAATATTTTTCACTCCACTTTTTAAAATCGAATAACAAATTTGTAGATATTTTTCCAGAAAGTTTTCATAATAGTTTATCTTAGTATATCAGAATATTCACATAAGCTCAATCGTAGCCAACGTAATCTGAATTGATAATGAGTATTTCTGTTTTTCTATTATGTATCAAAATACTTTTTCCATACTTTACTTGTACTAACTGAATACGAAAGTGTTTAGTTGTAAATTATCTTATAGTCTTAACACTCGGTAAAAACGTTGAAACAAATCAGATAACGGAAATAAAATATTTATTTTAGATAAAGTGATTAAGCTAGTAAGATTAGTGATATATTAGAAGACAATAGTAAAGTTGTTAAACTATACAGACAAAATTATATGGAAATATTATCTGTGGGTTTCCATATTGAAATAACGTAAGGAATGCCTAACATTCATAAACCATACTGTTCAGTATGGCCAATAGTATCAACTGTTTATACTAATAATCACAGTTTGTTAGATAATGGGGTTTCTTAGTAAAATTTGTTCAAGAGTATACTAATATTGAATTTAACATTATAGAAATTTTTGAGTTTTCAAACTCAGCATATTACTTCAAGTATTGAGATAACATAGGTATTTAACTAGTTTTGATTTTGAGTTTCCTACACAAAATTTCGTTGACAAAAACTTTGAGCTGTATATCGGTTTAATATCTATTCTTCAAATGCAATTAATACTTCATTTCAGCACTTTTTCTAAATTGAAATCTTCTGAAATTAGAGAATCAAATTTTATGTCTAATAGTTTTATATTTACGATCAAATTGACATGTTAGCATGGGATAAAAACTCATGACGTATATGGTACAAATTACGGGTTGGTTTTGTGCCCAAAAGAGGGTTACATAACTATTATGTAATATGCTGATACCTGAGGGTTGTATAACTATTACATAATCTATACTGTTATTCTGCTTATTTGTATGTACGACCGAGAATCTGCTGCATAAGCATGCGTGGTTAAAATGTTTCCCCAAGAAAAACCGCGCATGCGCATTATTCACTCGACGACTAACAGTCCGCCTGCGGCAGAGAGCTGCAAAGCTCAGTGATCA